TTTTTTTTGGCCTTAACTTGGAATTTTAGAAGCAGGACATCATCTGTGTCTCTGAGATGGAAAATAACAAACCAGGGGCCAGCATCTTCAATTTTCCAGTCCTTTGCAGCTACCAGCCACTGACTGAGATTTACAAGGCACATGTAAGGGGGCAATCCCCCCTAAGTATCGGCATTTTTGTTACTATAGGCTTGGGTTTAAGTCTCTAAACCCTCTGAGGGATCCCTGACCTGGGAAGCTGGCCTGGGCTGGATTCCATGCCAATCAAAGCCAGGACTTTTGCCCAGGCCTTTCGGAGGCCAATCTCAGGGGCTGGAGTAAAAAGCAGAAAGATTGGCCTCCCTGGCCCCTGGTCCCCCACTCCAACCCTGGTACTCAAGGCCATCTTGCTCCAAGGCAAGAAGAAGCATTAAGAGATAAATCCAAGGAAACGTCAAAAGTATTTCTCTGCAAAGTGCAGGGCAGAACCCAGCCTACACCATCCACCTACACAGAGGCCTTCTCAGCACAGAAAACGGGATCAGGTGGAGCCACCGGCCCACTAGCTGTATTCTCAGGGTAAGGGTTCCAAGAGGAAGAAGGCCCCAAAGTGAGACTCAAAAACAGGCAGATTCCATAGAGGCAAATCCAGGCCCTCACACCTCCAAGGTCACCCCTCTCCTTCCTAGGCCCTCCGAGAACCCCAGCTCAGAAGGATCCCACGGCAGCTCCAGCTCCTATCAGCATGCTCATCCGAGGCCAGATTGGCCACTGCCATGGGGGACTGAGAGTCAGGAGAGCCTGGACTTAATACAATTCTTGCGCATCTCACTGTGTCAGCTTGGATATTCGCCTCTGTGCATTTAACTATAAAGTGGACATAGAGGTCTGCCTGAACAGCTCAGATTAAGGTAATATGTGTAGGTTTTTTAAAACTGTAAAGTGCTGTGCAAATGCAAAAGATCACTTTTATTATTCCATCGAGTGCATTCTTATTAAATGACCCAATTCCCTAAAGACCACATGTAAGTGAAATTGGCATTTCCTATTTCAGCGCATATGAACACACTCAAGTTGGTCCTGGTGCTGGCCTGAGGCCCTGTCCATATGGCTCTGAGCACTTCTGCCCAAGACCACCTGTAACATTTAGGTATCTTCACACATATCCAAGGGGGACTCTCTCCCTCTTGGCTCTGCAGACATCACAACATCTTTTCCCAGAGTTGGTTTCCACTGAGACCCAGTGGCCTCTTCCCCAAGGGAACGTTACTCATTCAGCTACAGCTTACATGGGACATTTCCATGCACCGAAACTCAGCTTGGAAGACTCTCAAAAGGATGTGGGCCTCCTGGCTTGTCTTGGACTTTCCTAGTGCTACTGAGTCAGTCTGCATCTCCCCCATCAGCCCACGCTGAGGCTGCTGGAAACCCCCGCATGACGGGCTCATGGGCGAATCATGAGACGCTGCCATCATCCTGGGATAGTGGTTAACACAGGGGCTCCAGTGCCCTGCAGTGTGGGTTCAAATCCTGGCTTTGTACACTATCTGCTAATGTTGGACTCTTCATCTCTAAAACATGGATAATGTAGTTCTTCCCACCTCACCAGCTTATTACCAGGATTAAGTTGTATAAGACAAGTTAAAATGTACTTCAGTCTTATTACTGAGTTTGTACCATTAGCTACTGACTTAACTTCACATTTTGGGCACTTCAACACATTTGTTGCACTTCAAAAGTTCACTTTTTCATACGAACTGTCCCAAATAAATAATAAAGAAACTACTAACAGCGAACAAATAGGTCAATGCCTTCTGCTAATTGGGAAGGTTATAATGTTATTTTATATTTTGTTTTACCCCAGCTCCACATGTATGCTTATGAGCACTCCTGGAACTGTACAGTAATTGTCGATGTGCTTTTCCATTTCCTTCATTAGACTATTAACAACTTAAGGTTAAAAAACCATGTCATGCAGCGCCTCGATGAATAATGTCCAACAAGTGGCAGCTGTAGGCTCAGCCCCTGGAAGTACCACTCACATTCCTTCTGCTACGGAGGCATTTTTCTGTCTTCTAACGTTACAGCTTCGGAGGTATCCCTAGAGATGAAAGGGGCACCTGGGAGTGGGGACAGTGGTCAGAGATGGACTTTGTGCTGCTTTTGGCAGGAAATAGAATGAGATTCACTTTTGCTCACTGAGGGGTCTCGACTCAACTGGAAGAGTCCATCAAAGAGCCAGAGTTTCGGAGCATTTCATTCCCTTCCTATGATCATGGGACAAGGATCCTGAGTCACAAGACCTTTCAGAACTTAAGTGTACAAAGGGTACAGTCTTCCATCTGGCGGCTGAGACTTGGGGACACTGCCCTTTTGGTGTGGCCAGCACAACCAGAGGAGGCAATTCTGTAAGTGCGTGTTGACGGAATCCTTCAGTGCCATCTCCGCACCTGTGTCTGAAGCAACCAGAGGACGTGATGCTGGGCAGAGCTCTGGCCTTCAGTGACTTAAAGAAAAGGATAAAAAGTCTATTCAGACACTTTTCCCTCCAGACATGTCGCCTCCAACCCCCACAGGACAAGGCGGCAGGTGTAGACAGGAACTGGGGGCTCTGCCTCAGCTCTATGGGCAGCTGTGTGCCGGGTACTTCGCCTGCACCACACCTAAATCTTACAATCAGTCCTCAAGGCAGAACTCATGAGTCCCTTTTACAGATAAAGGAACTGAGACCAGGCTAAAGACTGTCCGAGACCCGACTGAGTGGAGTCCCAGTCTGTCTGCTCTGCCTCTTAGAGAGGAGCCCAAGTAGGTGAAGAGGTGAGGACTTGTCCAGAGAGACTTCAGGAGTGCTAGGCTCTGAAGGTGGGTTTGTGAGACCCTCAGGGGCTCCTGAAAACTCTAAGAAAATAGAGAAGAGAAGCAGGGTTTGCTGAATTTGGAGAATGTGCTCTAAGCCAAAGCATGACTAGAATGAATTACCGATGTGGTCACAAGCTCCCTATTCCTACTCCCCATCTCTTATTCATTCATTCTCTCTTTCTTTCTCTCTCTCTCTCTCTCTCTCTCTCCCTCCCCCTCTTCCTCTCTGTCTCCCTCTCTCTTTCTCTCTCTTGCACACAGCGATTTCACTGTTAGAAAACCTGCACTGACAATAACATATACATATATTCATTGAGGCTGATACATTCAAGAGAATTATCCACCTCTTCCCAGGTACAAAGGACAAACTCAATTCCATAACAAAGTAAGCACGAGTATTTGTGTTTGTTCTTCTCACACACTGATGAGCATTCCCAAAGTCCGGCTGGATCTTTCTCTGCCCCTGCTGGGTTTACCCAACCCCACTTAGAAAGGGGCGGCCCCCGTGGTAGCTGCTACTGGCTCCCCGATCAGAAAGCAAGTCCTTTCATGAAGCTCAGCTGTTCCTCGGGCATCCAGTGAAGCTGGTCATGCAAAGGCAGAAACTGTGACAACTGTTGGAGACCTTCAGCAGCAGCCTATGGGAGCAACTGAACGTTCTCTGGAGTAGCCACTTCGAGGACGGGTAAAGCAGCCTATTATTCCCTTTATATAAAACCCCCATCAGCTACATGGTACCAATAACTGAATATCCCCATTCTTATCAAGTTCCCGGCAACTGGCCACACTGCCCGGCCACTAACTTTAGAAAACACACACAACTTCATTAACCATCAAAATGCACAGGCACAAAGGGAAAGGCAGAGAAAAGAAAAAGCAGCTTTCCTGAGCGCTGAGGACCAGAACTCAAAGACTGCTCGACAGGCAAAGCACAGTATTCCCCTCTAGCAAACTCCCTGTAAGTCACTAGGACGTTTAAGATTTGAAGAGTTTGACAGAGAGGGTCTTCAGAGCCACGGAGACCACATCAAATGCTCCTCTTAGAAAGAAGGGCCTGTGTGCCTTTTTCCCAACAAAGAATCCGTCCAAAGGATTTTTTTTAAAAACACTGTAATATGCTTTGCTTCCAAAATATTACACACTCTTTCTCCAACAAATTTATATGTGTTTCCAAGGAACTCATGGACAAAAAAAAAAAAGTGCTTAAGTAGAAAAATGTCTGGCGATTCTTGTATGCCAACATGTTAACAGACCTTCTCTTTTAATTGTTATTATTTCATATAGCAGCAGTAATCATTCCCTCCTCTGCAAAGGAAATATATAATCCAGCTGTGGTGGCTCCAGCAAAAATACCACATCTGTGGATCATTGGCAGCACTGTGGAAGCTCACTCGAATCTAGGCAGTCTGCAAGAGGGTTTTTTTTTTTTAACCAAAATACAGATGGGTACACTTTTCTCAAAGTGCATATAAACTTTGCCAAAACTGGTTGCTCCTTTGTGTGCTGAAAATAGGTTTTTAGATTATCCACACCCATTAGAAAGAGGTTCTCTTGGAATATTATTCCCAGGCCCCAGATGTTCTAAGAAGCCCCCGAGACCCCGCCAGCGCCAGCGTGGTGGCTTGCGCCAGTGCCCTTGTCAATATCAAGAAGAACAGGAAAACTAAACGCTCCTGGTTGGTTTCAGAGAGAAGGTTCTACCGTGGGGCTGGCTGTGGAGCTGACTGCTGGTTTTCCACTTAGCAGAGAACCGTTTCCCCAAAGAGGATGGCAGCCACCGTTCCGGTCACGGATCCCTCCGTTCTCCAGGGTATGAAGTCAGAGGTGTTACTGAGCACGGGTTGATAATATTCTAGGAGTCACAGCTTGCCCCCCAACTCTCCCTAACCAAGCGTCTGTTTAGTCTTTCCCCAAAGCCCAGTAGCAAGCATCTTATTTCTAAGCCAATTTTCCACAGTCAAATCCCCAGCCCAAAGCGAGCCCTGGGGGTTTCCACACAAGACTTGTAAAAGAAAAAGCAACATAGCTGAGCCTTGACAGACTAACATACTCACAACACATGCCCCGTGGGCTACTGTGTTGGAATGTCGATTGCCCGAAACACTAAGGTCCCTCTGCATCCCAGACAATAGAGCAAGAAAATAAAATGAAAGTGGACTTACAGCTATGGCTTGCAGCCTTTCCTTGTGCAATTCCGCCTCTGCCATCCTGGAGAAGGGCACACGGGGGGAGGAAAGAAGAAAGAAAAACAAATGTACGCTGTAGTCACTCAAGGAAATTGATGGGCACCCCGGGGGCTTTGCTAGAACCCGGGGAGAACGAGGGACAGCTGGAATCCGCTCAGGGGATTGCGGGCAGAGCTGCGCGCGCGGCTGGCTCGCCCGCCTGGCTGGCCCGGGCTCAGCCTCTGGCCCCCGCCCGCCCGGCCGCCTGGCTGCGCCCCAGCGCCGCTGCTAACTGCATCTCCTTGCCGCTGCCGCCGCGCTAGTTGGGAGCGCGCAGTGGGAAGCCGCTGGGAGGGCTCGTTCTCCGCCCTGACGTCTTTGCGCCTCGCCCCGCCCCTGGGGTGTGCGGGATTCGGGGCTGCAGACTGGACTGCAGCCCGCTGCGACTCTAGACCGCCAGGAGACGTAGGAGCTGCCGTGCGCAGGGAGGGAGTGGGTGGTCCCCAAGGTGCGGACAGGCAGCGCGCGTGTGGGTGGGCACCTGGAGCTCAACGTTCAGTGAGCTGCTAGGGCGCACGGCTGGCGCGCCTGGGTGGACACACGCTCTGTGGGGCGTGAGCAAGACGAGGTGACGCCTCCAGGGAGCAGATGCCAGCCAAAAGGCCTCCAGTGGGGCCTCAGAGTGGGGGGGGGGTCAGTAGGGGGGTTCAAGCACTTGCCCTTATCTACCAGCTGTGGTCGCTGAGTCTTCTAGTCGCCTTCTAGCTCATGCCAGATGCTTGGGCGCCACGAGGGACATTTCCAATAGGGCAGGGCTGCCTGGCCTTAGACAGCCGGTCGTCAAATATCAAGGCCGCTGGCCGAGGTATAACTCAAAACAGACAGACCTCTGTGAGGCCAAAAGTGTTTGTAGTCCTCGGTGCTCAGCTAGGCTGGGCTAGACTTTACTAAATCACTGCGAAACCTCGGACAACTCACTTAACCACTCTGAACCTGTTTTCTCATGAGAAAAATGGAGGATCACCATAGTAATCCTCACAGTTGTCAGTAAGGAAGGAGATAAAGTCTATAAAGGTGCTTTGTGAAGGGCAATCTGTTCTACCACCCCACTGCATTCCAGGCTGAAGTTCTTTGAGGGTCTGTATTTCAACCCAGTGTCTAGAAGGCAAAGGAGCTCCGGGTCACAGAGATACTTCACCTCTTCTTTACTGAAAGAGCACATCTTTTGTGACAGCCCCCGGGCACCATGTAAGCGATGGACAAGGCCAGTCCAAAAGGAAATAAACGCTAAAAATCAAACAAAACACTTCTTAACATTCAGGAGGGACTGCTAGAATCTGCAACATTCATAAGCAGATTCTCCTCCAAAAAGTGAAATAAACACCCCCCCCCCAAAAAAAACCATCCAACAACACCGTGCCCTTTTAAGGTCCTTGATGCTTCTGTAAATGCAGGACTGAAGAAAGCATTTGAAAAGGTATGCATGTGAAATTTCCCCAAATCTCTTTCCTGGGCAAATTCTTACAAGTCAACAAAAATGGCCTTTTCAACTTGCACAGAGGTTTTACTTGTCACCTGATGAGCAGTCACTACCCTGCCTGAAGACTGAAGCAGCCACCAGACCAATTTTACCGACTGATTGTTTTCTCTTCCTCTATATCCCAGGGGGTAGGGAGGAGGTGGGGCCGTTTGTGTCATAAAGCCAAGCCAATGCCAGATTCGACAATCCCACTCCAATCAATATACCTGAGCTTCTGCTTCTGGCTCAGACCCATCACTGTCTTCGAACCATTCATTTCCTCTTCATTTCCAGCACCAGCTCACATGCGAACAAAACCATTACTTCTTCAGCAGAGTGATTGCTACCCAACAAGAGTAGAAACTAGCAAGATGTTGGAAGTGGGGCCAGTGAGGTGGAGAGACTCAGCCAGAGTCACAGAGCTGGGACTGAAACTCAGCCCAGACTCGGCAGAGCCCGTGTTCCTAACAGTCAGAGGAGCACAACAATGTGAATGACTAAATGTTCCTCAGCTGTGGGCTTAAATGTGGTTTAACAGGTAAATTTTATGTTACAGATATTTTATAGTACATTTTTTAAAAGGAATCACAGAAGAGGAGATGGGGTGGGAAGAGGACCCCTTTTTAAAGGTGACCTGCTAGAAAGAGATGAACCTCCATAGAGAAGAACCAGGATCATGATCCATTTCAGGGGAGCCATTCACTCTGAGGTTATAGCTAAAGAAATGAGAATGGCTGGAGGGAGAAAATAGAACGAAAAGGGGAGAAAGCCCAGCTGAGGGATCCAAGAAAGCATCACCTAAAAAGTAGGAGGAAAAAAATAGGAAGGCTTTTCAACAGGGTCAGATGCTTCTGAGAGGTCAAGGTCACTAAGAAAAGGCCATTGGCTCGGCCAGTCAGGAAGCCATGGGTGGCACTGGAAGAGCAGTGTGTGTGTGGAAGGTGAACCTGGAAGCAATTACAGAGTTGAGAACAAGCGGAAGGTGGGGAAGAAGCAACCATGAGCATAAAACACTCCTTTCAAATCTTTGGATGTGAAGAACGAAGGAGTGGGTGGCAAGGCATATAGCAAGGTGGTCTATGTATGGGAAGCAGGGTCAATTTGAGGGCTGTTAGGTCAGGTGAGATTTGAATGTTTCAGGGCCAAAGGAAATTAGGCATCATGCCTAATGAGGTCAAAGACACAGTCACAGGGAAGATAAGTATTAGGTAGGTCTCAGATTAGACCAAAGAGCGTCCAGGTGTGCACTGGTGGCCAGTTTAGCCTTTGAAAGAAGAAATAACAAAGTAGGGCAGGAGGACAGACTGGGTGAAGATGAGAAGAAATTTTAAGTTGAAGGAGAGAGAAGTTGATAGTGAGTGTGCTTTAGCCGGCCTAGATTACCCAGCTGATGGATGGGTCACTGGTCGAGACTCGTGGTATAACGGTGAGGGAATTCAAAAAAAGTAAAAATGGTTTAAAAAGAAGCTGCGGCACATGGGAGGAAACCGAAACATGTTTGACAACCAGAAGTATGCATCGAATCTCCTGGGGCACATCTCTCAGAATGCGTGCACGAATTAAATTTCTATGGGGTGCAGAAGGGTTAGGGGTTCAGAACCATTGTACTAACTGAGTTTACTAAAAATAGACAAAAGACTCATGACCAATCGTGTGTACTTTCTCAGTGGTTTTTAAACAGCTGAGATATTAACCAGCTAAGACCCATGATATGCAGTGAATGTGTTTAGTCAGTATCGAGGGTTGTTGAAGTAAGTATGGCAAGGAGTCAAAGGAGACTTTTGGCCAGCTGGAAGTATAGCAGACTCTTTTGTAAATTTTGGCTGCCTAACTTGTGAATCCCTCCCCATCTCTGGGGAATTCCCATATTACAAGCTGTAGCGAGAGTCAGAACCATCTCTCATGGAAGTTGGGAAATGCCAGACACTTGCATCCCCAGATCCCCTGGAACCTCTGACGCGGCCAGCAGTCTGGGCTCAGTCAGGCGTGTGCACCTGTCAAGGATCTTAAAGACACAGCATTAGAGAATTCTTTCAGGTTGGTAGCTCGCCTTTGGTCCTGCCCATCGCCCAAGCCTCCTTCTCTAGCCTTCCCAGCTGTTCTGTTAGCTACTTTAATGCACTTTCAACTCATACCTTTTCTGCTCCTACCCATTGGAATCAGTTTCTGCTGCTTGGACTAAGCATCTTAAATGAAACAGAGGCATGGGGAGGCACGTGAAATGAATGGCTAATGCTTGGCCAAAGAGCAGAGGGAAAATATTTTCTCTTCTTCCAGCACCTCTCCCCTCAAATGTCTAATTTTAGCATTTTAGAATCATAGAACCATTACACATACAGACTTTTAAACCCCACATTTGCCATTTCTTTCTCGCACTTCTGTTGTGTAGCTTCTCCTATACCAGACGTTAGGCAACAGCTGGGTATTACAAAGAAGTCATAGTCCAGGTTTAATACTGGTGACTTTTTGCCCTCCACACATTTAAAATCTGGAAAGATCTATTACAATAGTGCGTGACGCATGTAACAAATCACTGGTTCCTGCTGGGACACAGATTGTGTTGCATAAGCACTACCTGTATTGTTTAATGGTTTTTTAGATAGATGCTGCTTTGCACAGCATTACCCAGAGAGAATACAGAATGCTAGATTTGCAAAATAGATGTTTTGTTAACAAAAATTTCAAACCCTGTTTTAGGGTATGAGTCCTTGGGGAACTACAAATGACCACAGCCTACTCCCCTGTGGGGAGAACAGGAGCTCTACAAGCTGAAGGGAGAGAACTTGCCAAAGCCCGTTGGGAGAGTAAACATCAAAGTCTTGTTGAGCAGCAGTGAAGAGTGTTAAAATTTCATAGTCACTTGAAGCTTTCCTTAGATGAAGTAATTTTAAAAGGAACACCAGCATCCTATAAAATGTTTGTGTTTTGTATTAGCTCTCTTTTGCCCAAGACCTTGTAGAATGTGTGGTCATTCAAAACATATGCGATGGCTGAACAGAATTAAAAGGAGGGGAACAAAAATAAACAAACAAACAAACAAACAAATAAATAAATAAATAAATGGAGAGGAACAGTGCTTGGAGCCCCTGCCCCTGTGGTTGTGAACAATTTGGGAAAGTTGATGGGATTTCAAGTATGTGCTGTTTTTAACGGTGGGGTTCAAATGATAGGTTCACACAGGGAGTGCCCCTGGTGCAGGAAGACAGAGAAGAAGTGTAAGAACACTGCACCAGCGTAGGCAAGTAAACTAGGCTGGAACCATGAGCTGTGTGTTGACTGAGGTCTCTGCATGGCAGGTTCAATATGGGCAACTGGAAATCTGCCTAGAAATGAGCGGAAGCATTTCCATTTGAGGGTTTCCTTTTCCATGGCTTAGCCATGACAGTGTCAGTGGACTGACTCCTGAGCCATAGAGGAATGGAGGTGTTACGAGGACTATTAGAAGTTATAGCCGGATGGTGAGTGATCGTTCTGTATTTACTTGCGGGGACATTCAGATGTTGGTTCATAAAAGTCTTGCTATT